CCAGAGCATACCGCTCGGAGTGCGCACCGCTATCAGCGGAATATCACTCGCTCTCATGAGCAATTGGTAATACCCATCGACCAATTCGAGTGCACTTTACTTCGTACATCCCACCATGTTGTTCTGAAGATCATCCTTTTTAGGAATCGGCGTCTGTGCCGGGTAGGTGGCAGCGCTGAGCTTATTATAAACATAAACGATACGCAACTTGCCGTTCGGCTTCCGAACACAAAATGGGGGTGTCGAATGGGGAGACTTACTCTTACGTACCATCCCTGCGTCGTGCTTTGCACGAAAAAAGGCGTCAATGATGTCGCACTGCTCCTTAGGAAAGGGCCATTGGTGTGTTACGCAGTATTTGGTTCCCGGAACCAGGTCGATCTCATGACACACAGCTCGGTTTGGAGGTAGGGTTGAAGGCGGTTTCTTGGAGACGACGTCTTGAAATTCCTTTTCCAAAGGATAGTACGGATCCAAGCGATTCTGTAGGATCGACGATCCAGTTCGTGGTTCAGCCCTCTCTTGGTGTCTTCCAAGACAGCTTCATCCGGAAGCGATGACGAGTTTATCTCCTCAGCGCGTGGCGCTAGCTATCACTAAGCTCGGGGTCGAGCGAGAAAAAGGGTACTGACGTGGTTTTTTTTGTTGAAGCTGCATTCCCCTCCTAGAAGATGCAAAAAGCGTCAGCTTCTACAAGTGTTCTCGCCGCCTAATCAGGCATATCGCATGAAATCGCATTTTCTTGCTGCTCGAAAGGGCAAGAAGAAGTTGGTGAACTTTGTCCATGAGTTGCGAACACTCATTGCCGGGATGGCAGCTGATTCTCTTCCTGAGGCAGTCGCAATGATCGTCTTTATGGAGGGTCTCTGCAATGGCGTGGCCAGAATGGAAGATTTGCGTGTGCATCCATTTTTTTATAAAAAAGCGGTGAATGTGGCATCGTTTAGAAGCACGCAGCTCTTCGGGACAAGGATCATCTGCCCTCTATCTCCTTAAGGCTCAACGAGACTCAGTTTTCCCCCAGTAGGGCGCCCCGCACCCACTGGGTGATCTCGTTTCGCCGCGTCAAACCAGACAAATTAGAAGCGAAATGTCTGTTTGACGAACCTTTACTCGCCTTGCGCGACATACAAACCAACCGAAAGTGACGGGTATCTCAACAAACTGACAGCCATCGGGTGTTTACACGCTGCTTCAGCATCTCGGAGACCTTCCTTTTTCTCAGCATAGCTGAGATCTTTTGTCTCAGGCCCGCTCAACGAGCTATGAGGGTGTGCATTCCAACCAAGTCGTTCCGACTTGAACTTGAATTCGGCATTCTTGTTCGTTTTGAAGAATGAGAAGTACCATAGCCATCTCTGCATTTCTGAGTGGCCTGGGTCGGAAGGAATAATCCGTCGTCGATGGTGGCGTCATAGGAGCTGTCGATGCTGGTGGCTTCTACTGCAAGTGCTTTAACAGAGCTTTTTCCTCGCTTGGCAAAGCCTTTAGGCGCCGGTTATGGCATCGAGCATTTGCGCAACGAGGTGCTCCATGTCTTCGGGGTCCAGCAGGAGCATCAGCTTATTAAGCCCGTCCTGCATGCCCTGGGGCGAAGAGGCGTATTACTCCATCCTCGCAGAAAATCAGACTTAACGACTCAGTCGTATGTTGACTACGAGTGCTACCAAGTGCAGCAGGGTTGTTGCTTAGAGGAAGCTAAGCTAAGGTCATCGACCCAACGTTCTTTCCAAGAACCAGTATGAGTGTGGCGGATAGCGATCCGCTCCCTGCAAGTACTAAAGCCTTAACCAAGGCAAACGAACACTTATGTTCAAAATTTGAAACTGTATCTTATTGTTTTGGTTGTGGCTGAGCCACCAATATAGTAATACTTAATTAATATAGCGAAATTTGATCAATATAGTAATATGCATTACTACTGGCACTCCCGCCACGTGGTGGCTTCTTATTATGGTGTAGCCACACCACTGTGTTATTACAGTAACTGTGTAATACACACCTATGTACGCTCGCATAATCTTGTGCGACCCGCCCTTTCTTACTCTGATCGCATCAATCCGGCTTAAGCCCTCGCTTTGCCTGGGTTCATTTATGTGTTAGCCTATGGCACAATTGATAAGTGAGACGAGTTTTTCTTATGAGCAAGGGTGGCATCGTCGGTGCCATCATAAGAGCTGTATCTCTCAAACTGCAACCTGGTGACAGTACTGATAATTGTGTGTGTCAGCTCATGTATTGAGTGAAGATGGCTCACCGCCTTACTATTTGAACCTTTTCAGGTCGGCTTAAGTAAACAGCCGTTCGACAGAAATGTCACCTATAGCTTGACGTCGCAAAGTAAAACACGAAAAGCGCAACGTCGAGAAAGGCCCTCACCCTTGTCTCTGGTTCTGCTAATTTGAGCGTTACTCATACCAATGATCCTGATGATAAAGCAACCTGCCAAGTCTAAGAGTCGGGCTCCAATTGCTGGCGGTAAGTGTGGTTCTTTGACAACCGTGTCATATGAAGAGGATGCGCAAAGCGAAACCTCAAACTCGGCAGAGTTTTATCTGCTAGAAGGTAATATATCTGGATAACCTGATACTTTTTATATCCCGATAGTATAGGCTACTTTACTAATCTGTCCATTCAATATTGGGCTTTGCCTTGCTCATCAGGCTCATCAGTCAAAGAGTATCGTTTTCAAGAGCTTCGCCTCGAGAGTCACATTGCGCATCCGTTGAGAACCTCGATCATTTGTCTAAAAGTCGCGCAATAAATTGTCGCTCCATATATTTGAAGGAAATCAGCATTTTTTTTCATGCAACGTATCCGAGATAATATCAACATAACGATAATTATCAACAGTACCTCTCCATCCAAGGGCACACATTATTTTGCGGAGGTGTCGTTCGATACACCATTCACCTCGCGCAAAGTTGCCAAACCCTGCTGTAGAGTCGGTGTAAACCCGACTGATATCCGTGCTTACGGGAATTGGTATAAATTGTTGTATATGTAGTCGCTGGTAGCAGCGAGATAATTAATACTTCGCAAGCGTTCAGTGCCAACTACAACATCGCTAATATGGAAAATCCCTCTGGGGGCGAATTTTAAACCATACTAGTGGATTGTCGGCACTCTGAATGAATTGGTCAGCTGGCTAAAGACGTTGGTGCGTATGGTACGTTCTTAGCCCTTAGCACGTTGTACACTTTCTCACAACAGTTTATATATATTCCTTCGTGCTGAACCAGGGGTACATCGAGCTGACCGAGCTGCAAGTCAATACTTGTTCGAAATTTTCTTCAAAATGAGCTAAGCAGATATATTTTTACGTTTTCTTGATCACGAAGTACAACCTCAAGTTTGGTGTCAAGTGGATACATAGCAGACTTTTGTAAAAAAACGTTAGTGGTGTATATTTCCTTGAAGTTGCTGAGTCAGAAAATTAATTTCTTTTCAAACCATTTGGCGCACGAATTGCAAAACGTTCGATTTTACATTATCGCCGCGTGACCTTGCCATCACGATATGAGACTTAGGTTCCACGAAAGCACATTCATCACTACATCATTCCGACCAAGTTTGGTCTTAAACTCAGACGTTAACTCGTCAAAATAGCCATTATGTCACATTCAAATATGTGTGACTACGTTGTCACGAAGCGTAATGACGCATTGTAAGATGCCAAAGAAACGGCTGTCAAAGGTTTACGCTATCGATCGACTGAGGTCTACTAAGCATCACTACAAATATGCAACTCTGTATTTATTGGCAAGTTTGATCAATTTGGAAAATGGTTTGATTCTGTAACAGGATTACACGTACTTAGGGTGTAACAGGGTCACACATACCCTGGTTTACAAGGGTGGGTGTACACAGAACGTGTGTATAGTCCGGGCTTGCTGGTCGTATAAGAAACCGTGAAGGGCTTTGATAAGTCATGGAAAATCCATATCGATTCCGGGCGTCGGGCAATTATGCCCGAAGCTTTTTGATAGAAGGATGTTAGCTGTATGCTTAGGCGTTGGAAGCGCAGTTGTGTGACATCGTCACTGTTCGCTTAGCAACGGGGACTTGTGTCACTGTGCCAAGGGTCCCTGTGGACCTCGATGTCAAGTTTTGGAATTCACGTGCGCGGAACGCTTCTTCGTCTTAGACTTGGATGCAAGGTATGTCCTTATCCCTAAATTGCATGGTTGAATACCATGATCCATGGATTGATTGGAGGCTGAAGACCTTGAGCGCTACGCGCATACGTCTCCTGGTGGAGCTTTGATGAGTCATAAACCACCTCTGCCAGGAAGCAGAAGCGCTATTGGTGCGGGCACTGAGCCGAGACGGTCAATGAGTTGGATTTCGGAGTATCCGAGTTGTCGAACATCAAAGAATTAGACAGGAGTCCCGAGCGTGGCTTGAAGGCTGGCACGTAATTCCCTGAGCACTTCTCACGTTTCAAAGCAGTTGCTGCATACCACGAGTGACATGGTCGGCGAAGGGCCGAGGCATCGAGGGTGAGGCTCCAGTGATACACGTGGAGTGGCACTTAGTCCACTGAGCACTGCTCACATTTTGAAGCAGTTTCTGAACGCCTAGAGTAGTACGGTCAGACGAGGTCCGAGGCATCTTAGGCAAGGTTCTTCTGATGCGCGTGGAGTGGCACGTTATCCACTGGACGAAGACTGCGTAAATAGCAGCTCTTCGTCGGGTGGTGTTAAAATATCAAGGCTCCAATGGAGCAGAAAGTGAGGACACTAAGACACTGGACGACGCTAAGTGCGTTTTCCCACTATATCTCGACGAGACGTAAAGCCTCCGGGGAAAGGCAACGGCGACGCCGTATGCTAGCTGCAAGTCGCAGGGCGTCGAGTCTGACTTAGGGTGTATTTACCATAGGCGATAGCGTACTGCTACACACATTTGTTAACGATATGAAGGAGGAGAAAGACGGCGATGTCTGCCTCGCGGCTAATCCCGCGGTGGGTGCTCTCCTTGAGCTGGACGAGATGTGCTTCGAAGGGTTCGGCGTTGGTGCCTTGAAGGTAGGCAATTTGGCGAGGTGATCATTACACGACCGAACGAGGAGAAAACTTGTCTTCCATTCTGGAGAAAGCTGCCCTAGAGGACACCAGATGGTACTGAACGCACGAAGTGAATCGTTTATCCTTCAGGATCCTCGGAGACGACATCTTTCAGCAAAGGAACTAAAAGACGTCGTCTCCAAAAATCCGCCGTCGGTCCTACCTCCGAACCGAGGTGTGCGTCATGAGATCGACCTGGTCTCGGAAAACAAATACGGCGTAACACGCCAATGGCTCCTGCCCAAGGAGCATTGTGAAGTCATTGACGCCTTTTGTCATGCGGAACACGACGCAGGAATGGTGCCTGAGAGCAGGTCTTCCCATTCGACACCCATATTTTGTGTCTGGAAGCCGAACAGCAAGTGGTGTATCATTCGCGTTTACAATAAGCTAAACGGTGCCACCATACCGGCACAGACGCCGATTCATAGGAAGGATGTTCTCCAGAACAATACGTTTGGCTGTACAAATACAGCGCTCGACTTGGCTGATGGATATTACCAATTGCTCATGACAGCGAGTGATTTTCCGCTGACAGCGATGAGTATTCCGAGCGGGATGCTTTGGGAGTGCCAGTGATCCCTGAGGGCTGTCAAATGCACCAGCAGCATTTAAACCGTCTTGTGACGCAGTAAGGTCGTGGCCAAGCGAGACCTTGGGTATATGCCAAACCTATCGCGAAGGATGCGCAACCACTCCGTTTCAAGGTGGGCTTGCTTAAGCCGTACCGGGATCCGGCACAAAGGAACGCGGAAGCCATTGGCGCTAGGGTGGCGCCCAAAAGCGCTCGGCCACCCAGAAGCTGATACAGCAACTGGTTTTTGGGCACGAGTGCAACAATTTCTATTTCTTACGGCGCAAGGCGCTCCACCGTCGCACAAAGTGACGTATTCATCTGCTCGACGGGTACGAGCCGCTCCGTCGGGGAGCGATTATCCTCAACGTGGAGCAGTCGGTGCACAGAGTGCTCCAAGCTATCGAGGTCTTCCGCACAGCGCTATGCGACCTCAAAATGATGCTCGGCGGAGTGCCCATGACGACGGATTTTGTCCTCCAGAGCTCGACGAGCATCGCGAGTCACCGGACAGCGCTCGACCAAGTCGTCGTAATCCTAAGCCGACTCGATTTGAATGGTGGCGCCCAATATCACGTGGAACGCCTTGTGGGTAACCGTCGTCGACAGGGTCGAACCAAATGTCTTGTGAGGTGGTGGAGATACCCAAACGCAGAGAACTCGTGGGATTTTGAGGTGCTACTTCGGCAAGACTGCCCAGACGTTAAGGATGCTTATGATCAGAAGGATCGTGACGCTTCACGTCGTCGTGCGCCCCGTGCTTCTCGGCAGTAACCAGCTATGACCTTGAGCTGCTGTGGTCTTAGACTCACCCGTATGAGAAACCACAGAGCTTGCAGAAGCGGGATGGACTATTCCATATGTCGCAGGGCGACAACACCCAGGAAGTCGGCGTTGCGCCTTGAGTTTGGCAAACTCAAATTGAAGATGGCGTTCAACGCGCACGTCTACTTCCTTGTGCTGTACTATAGCACCGATTCAACGGATAAGCCACGAATTGTGGTTCCTCACGATTAGGAATTAAAATACCGTATAGTGGTCATCGGTCGTGAAAAGACGAACAGCTCGGTGGGTTGCCACTGTTGGTGTTCCAAGCTGTACAAGTGAACTAGCACTTATGTGCGCACGTGTAGAACGTGTCAGAGGGTGAAATCCTCTCCAAATGCGGCGGCGCTGCTGGCCAGTTTACCTGTACCCCCCCCGGTTTTGGCAGTTCAGGAGAATGGACTTTGTGTTTGGTCTGCCAAAGGACTCGGCAGGCAACACTGGTGCAGCGGTCTTTCTCAACCGTTTGAGCAAGATGGCTCATCTTGCGATCTTGTGGCAGTGCCGGACACCATTGACGGTGTGGGACAGCGACGCTGTTTGTCGATTGTGTCCTTCGACAACATGGATTCCCGGAGTCAATTGTCTCTGATAGAGACCTGCGTTTCACTGAGAAGTGTTGGTCTACAATTTAAAGGTGCATGCCACAGCGGACCATTTGTGGACCGATGGTCGGACTGAGCGCATAAATCGCGTCGTTGAAGACGTTCTTCGCAGCGTCTGCGCTGAGATGCCGAAGCGCTGGAGCACTCGTGGAGTTTGCTCTGAACAATGCAGTGAATTCATCCACCGGCTATACGCCGTTCTACGTGAGCGAAATTATTATTTCTTGTGTCCCGCTAACGCTGCCATCCCATGGCTCACGGCATGATGGAAAAATTAGCGGTACGGCTGGCTGATGTCATCCTTCTAACCGCGTGTTAAGAAGTCAGGACTTCCTGTCTACCGGAAGAAGTGTCTTTTTCGCAATACGATGGCTGAAAGCCAAGACATGCAGAAGGAATATGCAGACGGAAAACGAAGAAGACATGTTGAAGACATTGAGTCGGAGACCTGGTTCTATTAATTGCTAAATACCTTCCTACACATGCAGTTTCTGCTGGTTTTAAGATGAAGCTCCGTCAACGGTTTATTGGACCTTTGAAGATCGTGGCCTAGCGTATACGCTGAACCTTCCGAAAAAGATGCGCTCCCACTCGTCGGGGTAGCGCCCAAGGCGCTTGGCCACCCAGAAGCTGAACCAGCAATTGGTTTTGAGCACGGATTGCAACAATTTCCGTTTCTTACGACGCAAGG